TGGGAATGGGGGAACTGGGAGTAAATGGGAATTGGGAATGGGGGAACTGGCTGTGAATGGGAATTGGGAATGGGTGAACTGAGTGTGAATGGGAAGTAGTGAATGGGGGAAATGGGGGCGAATGGGAATTTGGAATGGGGGAACTGGGTGCCAGGTTTCCCTTCAGCTCGGGACACTCGGGCGCGAACATGCCCAGCCTGGCGAATGGGAATTTGGAATGGGGGAACTGGGAGTGAATGGGAAGTGGGAGTGGGGGAACTGGGGATGGGAGTGAGCGAATGTGGGCATTAGGCATGGGAATGGATGCAAATGGGAATTGGGAAGGGAGTTGGGCAAACAAGGGAATTGGGGAATGGGGAAATGGGGGCAAATGGGAATTAGGAATAGGCAAACTGCAGAACTGGGAATGAGGGAATGGCCTCACCTTGTGGGAGAAGCCGCTCATCAGGACGCTGTTGCGGGCCAGCTCACACATGTCGCAGGAGCTGAGCTTCCACACCTGGGTGGCGATGCTGTACTCCTCCATCAGCGGCTCCTGGGGACAGACACCCCTCAGCTCCCGCCACACAGAGCCCTCAGGCAGGACGGGGTCCCCACCTCCTCCCATCCCCTCTACACCATGAGCACCCTCCAGAATCCATCAGTGCTGCCAGTGGCCCCACCTCACCACCACCCCCACCCCACTACCAGAATTATCCCATCACCCGCCCCGTGCCCACCCCACAGCCCCTCCTGGGGGTCACTGCCTGGTGTCCCCACCAAATGCTCACCTTGGTGAAGTGGAACTGGAGGGGATCATCGGTGGAGAGGGACACCATGAGCCCCCGCGAGAGGTACTCGGGCAGGGGGTTGCGGTGGTAGCTCAGGAAGAGGCTGTTGTTGCTCAGCGGGGACATGGCAATGCCAATCTGTGCCAGGTAGTACAGGTACTGCAGCACGGGGGCCTGTGGGGCACAGCAGGGTAAGGGGGGGTCCCAACACACCCCCAGCCCCCCCAGGCACCCCATCCCCACTCACCTTCCGCAGCAACAACCCGTGGGAGATGTTCTCTGAGACCATGAACCCCGACACCAGGTGGTGGATGGGACCAGCCTCGCCACAGTGTGGGCGCAGGACAAAGGTGTGGAAGCCCCTCTTCCTGCAAGGGGTGTTTGACTGTCAGCATCACCCTCTGACCTCCCCAGAAGCTCCTGCGGGGTGCGGGTTCCAGGCCAGGGCTGTCCTTACCGCCGCAGGTGGTTGAGCACTGTCATGTTGGCATACATGTAGTACAGGTAGTAGGAGTAGGGTGGGTTGTCCTCCTCCACCCAGTTGCCTGGCAAAGGGCTATCCAGGTTGAAGATGTGATGCTCTGGTTTGGATTCATCATCCACGCTGTCAAAGCCATCCACCTGCACGAGAGACAGCCCCAGGGTGAGATGCCACCCCTCGCTCCAGCTGGGTTTGGGCAGGGGTGTCCCCAGGAGCAGGACGCAGCACTCACGTGCTCCAGGAAGAGGTGCAGCTCTGGGTGCTGGGCAGGGTGGATCGTGGCCTCGTAGAGTGGCAGGAAGATATTCTCCAGCATCTCCTGGAAGTTGGCCAGCTGCTTCTTCGTCCGGTAGATGTCACTGCAGGGAAGGGACCCCACTCAGAGCTGGCTTTCCCCCCTCCCCACCCAACTGAGGGGTCCTGCGCCCCCTTTACTCACAAGAGCCGGGGCACCTGCACGAGCCAGCGGACGTTGTTGGAGTGGACGCGGTGGCTGACGGCCCAGCGGGCCAGCTTGTCCCACTCATCCCGGGAGCGGCCGTAGATCGACAGACGCAGCTCCGCGTTCTGGTACTTGCTCTCCTCCAGGTCTGCCATCACCTCCTGACAGCAAGGGACAAGTGACAACTGTCACTGCTGGGCCAACGGGAAGGGGACATGGGTTGCACTGCCACCCCGAGGAGGGGAGGTGCCCACCTTGATGATGTGGGCAAAGTACTTCCCCGAGACGCGGTTGTCTGTCTTGATGAAGATCTCCCGCAGGATGGACTCCCCGATGGGGTTGTACTTGGCGTTGAACTTGTCGAAGCGGTGGAAGGTGTTCCGGTCCTGAGCATGGGACAGGTGTGACTGAGAGTCCTCATCACCCACCCCAACCCCCACCACCCCGCTGTGCCCTGGGAAAATCCCCTGGAGAAGATCCTGCGCCCCAACCAAGGACAGGCTGGGGGCTCTGCTCATCCCCAGGCTTTGGGAGCCTCCCATACCGCATGGACATCCAGGGTGTCCACGCTCAGGTCGTAGGCTGTGAGGTTCATCGTCTCAAACACCTCCTTGAGCGTCTGCTCCTTCCCCTTCTCCACATGGACAATTTCATCCAGGTGCTTCTTCATTGCCCGCTTGATGAAGCGCAAGAGATGCTTCTGGTTCATGCAGGACGAGGCATGGATGTGGGTGTCCACCTGCACCAGGGAGGTGATGGTCAGCCCTGAGACCCTCCAAGAGCTCCCCAGTCAAGCCAGGAACCCGCCAGGACCCGGGGCGAGCTCAGGATCCCCAGGTACCTTGCGGATGTTGTAGAAGTCCCGGTGAGGCACCTTCTTCTGGGCCGCCAACTCCTTCATCTCATTGAGCAGCACATGCATCTGGAACTTGTTGCTCAGGTACTGCAGCCGGCGGTAGCAGAAGGATTTGCTGCTCAAAACAGAGAAGAAGAGCTCAGTTTGGGGGTGAGGAAGCAGAACATCTAGTCCCAAAGGGCTGGTGCCCCCACAGATATGGGAACACGGACTCTTGGACACAGGTGAGGGTGGACGTGGGAGCTGCACCAGCACCGTGTGCCAGAGTCACTGCCATGTCCTTGGGGCTGTCCCTGGGGTCCTGTCACACCCCCATCATGGGATCCCCCTAGGCTGGGACCCTTCCCCTTACATGGGCCCATTGATGATCAAAGCCATGAGGAAATTCATGTCGGCGATGAACTCCTGCAGGTCGGGGTATGGCAGGTCCAGCTCCGTGCTCCTGGTGGGGAACACATGTGGGAGTCACACAGCCCCCCAAAAACTCCTCACCCCAATGAGCAGGACCCTCCCCCTCACAAAACTCACTTGTCAGTGATGTCCTGCTTGGTGTAGACATGCACAACACCATCCACCATCTTCAGCCCGAAGCCCAGGTCCGCCGGCATGTTCTGGGGATCCCACATCTCATAGGGGTGCTGCTCAGCAAACGGGGGGTGCACGGGGGCATCTGCAGTCAGGAGACACCCAACATCACCCCGAAAGCTCCTGCAGCTGCCCAGCTCAGCACTGAGACCCCCCCACAGCGTGCTCACCGGCAGCCACGGGGGTCTCGGGCACCTCCTCGTAGCCGCGGGTCTCCAGGGGCTTCTCGGAGAGCTCCTGCAGGTAGCGGGCCGTGGTCTTGCAGAAGCTCTGGAGGGACAGTCCCATGTACTTCTCCCGCACAAACAGCGCCTTCACCACGCTCTTGGCCGCATCCAGCAGGTCAGTGAAGGGCACCTGGAGAGGGGACACCAAACAAAAAACCACCCCCCAAGCTGGGGTTGGCAGCCTGGAGACCCTTGCCTGGTTTCCAGGGGGGTCGGGGGGAGGCTCACCCCACATTTCTCCTCCCCAGAGATGGTGACCCGCTGGAATTCTCGCTCCAGCAGTGCCTCCCGCTCCTTGGGGACATGGTCCACCAGGCTGTCATTCTGCTCCTTGAAGAGCCTGCGGGGACAGACGTAGCCAGTGGGACAATGACAGGTCTGCCCCATTCCCGTGTACGCCAACGGCAGCACGAGCCCCACCCCAGGGACTGTGTCCAGCCCTGGGGTGGCAGGATGGTGACGCTGTCCCCAGGGATGCCACCACGAGGCTGTGGCAGCTGTGCCACCCGTGTCCTCTTTGGTGGTGGCATTGTCCCCCTTCCCAAAACACATCCCTCAGCCCTGATGAGCACAATGAAAAGTGGGGGGAGGAGAAAGGGCACAAAGAACAAAAAAACTCACGACAGAGACAGCTCCCAAGCGGAGACAGGAGGGAGGGGGACACACAGCGTCAGACCCCCCATCCAGGGGAAGACAGGGCCAGGACAGGGGTCCTGTGCCAGCAGCAGAGCTGGGACCCCCAGCTCACCCAACCCCCCTCCCCAGGTGCATTCAGTGTCAGTACGAGTGGCTGGAGGGACCTCTTGGCTCCGTGCTTGGGTGTGCTGGGTCAGAGCGGGGCCAGCTGGGTCCCCGATCCCCCCCGTGGCCCCGGCCGGTGACACCGGGCCGGACACTCACTGTAAGTCCGCAGCACTGTCAATTTTCAGGAAGTCCTGTTTGGCTCTGAGCAAAATGTCGGGCTCAAGTCTGGGGACAAGGAGGCGGCGGTGGAGGGGGGGGACAGCCGGGGGGACGAGGGGGAGAGAAATGGGGGGGGCCGGGGAGAGAAAACACCCCGTTAATGCCAAAACAACAGAAACCAGACAGAAACCAGCCAAAAACTCACTGCAAAGGGGACACCAAGTGCGACACCCACGGGAGAGGGCACACAGAGCTGGCACAGAGACAGCCTCTTGGGGCAGGGAGGTGGCCAGGCCCCGGGCAGGGCTCCCTTCCAGCGGTTTGGGGCGGGACCAGCGGGGAACCCCCCAGGCTTACTTGACGTCCTGGCTGATCTGGCGCTCCAGGCGCTGGCGCCGCTCCTCCAGCTGCTCGATGGGGCTCTCCTCGGGGAACTCGTAGGGAGCCGTGCGCATCTCGTTCTCGGCCAGCGAGCGGCAGAACAGCTCCTGCCAGGGCAGTCCCGCCGTGAGCTGAGCCCAGGGCAGCCTGAGCTGTGCCCAGAGCAGCCCTGAGCTGAGCCCAGAGCAGCCTGAGCTGAGCCTAGAGCACCCTGAGCTGAGCCCAGAGCAGTCTCGCCATGAGCTGAGCCCAGGGCAGCCTGAGCTGGGCTTAGAGCACCCTGAGCTGAGCCCAGAGCAGCCTGAGCTGAGCCTAGAGCACCCTGAGCTGAGCCCAGAGCAGTCTCGCCATGAGCTGAGCCCAGGGCAGCCTGAGCTGTGCCCAGAGCAGCCCTGAGCTGAGCCCAGAGCAGCCTGAGCTGAGCCCAGAGCAGCCTGAACTGAGCCTAGAGCACCCTGAACTGAGCCTAGAGTACCCTGAGCTGTGCCTAGAGCAGTCTTGAGCTGTGCCCAGAGCACCCTGAGCTGTGCCCAGAGCAGCCCTGAGCTGAGCCCAGAGCAGCCCTGCTGTGAACTGTGCCCAGAGCAGCCCTGAGCTATGCCCAGAGTACCCTGAGCTGTACCTAGAGCAGTCTTGAGCTGTGCCCAGAGCACCCTGAGCTGTGCCCAGACAAGCCCTGAGCTGAGCCCAGAGCAGCCCTGCTGTGAACTGTGCCCAGAGCAGCCCTGAGCTATGCCCAGAGTACCCTGAGCTGTACCTAGAGCAGTCTTGAGCTGTGCCCAGAGCACCCTGAGCTGTGCCCAGACAAGCCCTGAGCTGAGCCCAGAGCAGCCCTGCTGTGAACTGTGCCCAGAGCAGCCCTGAGCTATGCCCAGAGTACCCTGAGCTGTACCTAGAGCAGTCTTGAGCTGTGCCCAGAGCACCCTGAGCTGTGCCCAGACAAGCCCTGAGCTGAGCCCAGAGCAGCCTGAGCTGAGCCTAGAGCACCCTGAGCTGAGCCCAGAGCAGTCTCGCCATGAGCTGAGCCCAGGGCAGCCTGAGCTGGGCTTAGAGCACCCTGAGCTGAGCCCAGAGCAGCCTGAGCTGAGCCCAGAGCAGCCTGAACTGAGCCTAGAGCACCCTGAACTGAGCCTAGAGTACCCTGAGCTGTGCCTAGAGTACCCTGAGCTGTGCCTAGAGCAGTCTTGAGCTGTGCCCAGAGCACCCTGAGCTGTGCCCAGACAAGCCCTGAGCTGAGCCCAGAGCAGCCCTGCTGTGAACTGTGCCCAGAGCAGCCCTGAGCTATGCCCAGAGTACCCTGAGCTGTACCTAGAGCAGTCTTGAGCTGTGCCCAGAGCACCCTGAGCTGTGCCCAGAGCAGCCCTGCCATGAGCTGAGCCCAGAGCACCCTGAGCTGAGCCTAGAGCAGCCCTGCCGTGGGCTGGGTGCAGCCTCAGCCCTGCCATGAACCTCAACCCCTGGGCTGGCAGAGAAAGGCTCACAGGGATTCCCACACTCAGAGCTGAAGAACTGGGAAGGGAGGAGGGTTTGGGGAGGAGAAGAGGGGAGGAAAGATCAAGGGGAGACCCCCCCCCCACTCCCCCAACACACGCTCACCCCCCCAGACCTGGCAAACTCGGTGCCCAGACCCACCTCAGCGATCTCCTTGTATTTGCCATCCATGGACGTGCGCAGATCCACTGGGAAATGCTTCAGGCTATGGGGGGTCCCGGGCAGGGACCAGGCTGACTGCAGGGGTCGGGCCCCTGGCCCCCCCCGCAGCTCTGCAGGGAGTGGGACAACATCAGCTGGGGGGTCTGGACCCCCACCTGGGCAGGAAGGGGTTAATCGGCCCCTCCACAGCCCCCCCTCCCCACCATGGAACTGGGATGCTCTTCCCAATGGGGATGATGGGGAAACTGAGGCAGCTGAAGGGCAAGAGGACCCCCCCTTTGTAATCCCCCTGGGGCACCAGGAGGGCTGCTGGCCCCACTGGGGGCTGGAGAAGCCAACAGTGACTGAGGGGCTCAGGGCTGGGCTGCAGGACCCCCATGGCACGGGGGGCACCCCACTGGGGTGCCTGCCAGCGCTGCCTCCCTGCCCCCATCCCATCCTTCCCAGCATAGGGGGCACATCCCCACACTGAGGGGAGGGGAGGCAACATCAGCCCCCCTCCAAACCCACCCCACTGCCCCACACCCCCCCACCCCCACCAGCACTGGGGCCATCGGCCTGGGGGTGCCCAGTGCTACCCCAATGCCAACACCCTCCTCTGCAACCCCCAGCCACCACACACCTGCCTGGGGGCACGGGAAATCGGGTCCTACTGGTTAAACTGGGCCCACCAGTAAGAGCCCCTCCACCCGGCACAGCCCGGGGGAAGATCCAGGTCCCCAGACCCTCCAACAGGAGCCTCCATCCCATTTGCTCCCTGCACCACCCCCGTGGGAATGGGGGGCTGGGCTGTGTCACCCCGGGCAGGGATGGCACTGGTGTCACCAGATGTGCTGGTGGTGCCTCACCCGGAGCACGGTGAGACCCAGGGTGCCCTGTGCCCCCGGGACATATCCTGTGCTGCCCACGTGTGACAGCTGGTGGCCCTGGTGGCACTCCGAGATCCCCCCCCAGCGCGGGTGCCAGACAGATGACAACCCCACGGCGCCACCTCGCCCACCTCGTGCCACCATGCAGGACACCCTGTGCCACCCACCCAGGACAAATGTGGGTCACCAGAGCCAGGGGCAGCCCCCGCGATGCCCCTAGAGCCCCCAGAAATACCAGCCAGGTGACAACCCCCAAGTGCCACCTCACCCCGGTGATGTCACCACACTCACCCTGTGTCACCACCATTTGCCATCCACCCACAACACACGTGTGCCACCCACGTGTGGGAACAGCCCCGGTGACACCGAGACCCTCTCTCAACAGTGCCAGCCCGGTGCCAACCACAGAGCGCCACCTTGCCCACCCCGTGCCAGCAGCCCCCCACGTGCCCGAGGTCTCCCCCGCGGAGCCCCCCCAAAACCGGGCCCGCCCCCCCCGC